GGGCCCAGCTCCAGGCCGCGGGGGGCTGCGAGGAGGGAAGGGTTTCCTGCGAGCCCCAGAGCCCGGGTCTCACCCCCTCCCCTGGCCCCCAGCAACCCGCCCAAGGGCCCAGCATCCCCCTGCCAGGCTTGGGGGTCAAAAGGAAAAGGGACAAGGGACAGCTCAGGGCACCCAACCCTTCCTTCCCCTGCTGCAGGGCTGGGCTGCTCTGTCCCCCTTGGTTAATCATCTGTGGGAGAGATCCCAGGACATAAGGCAGACCCCAGACCCCAGCAGCTACGCTGGAAGCTGCTCCCCCATGCAGGGGGGCACGCTTACCCGCCACGGGGCAGCAGGAACAACCCCCAGCTCTGGGAGGGACAGAGGAACCATGGGGTGGTGGCACAAACCCTACCTGCACCAGAGCCAGGCAGACTGCAGGGAGAGCTGAGCCACCCCATGGACCCGAACGGGCCAGGAAAATGGAGGCAGATGGAGGCCAGGAGAGCAGCTGAGTGTTAAAACTTTTATAGAAATCCTTGAGAAACAAAGGGAAAATAGAGAGCAGAGCCCAGGAGAAGAGCACCAGCCTGCAGTCCCCACACACACATTGCAGGTCACTCGCAAGAGCCTCGAGCCTCGAGAGGACGCTCCCTCGCTGGCAGCCCGACTGTCCCCCCGACTGTCCCCACGACAAACCAGAGCCACGCTGGTACCCACGGTGCCCCCTCGAGCGGTGCAAGCCCAAGGTTTCCCCAGGCCCCGAGGCTGGGGGAGGGCAAGATGTTGGCACAGGCGTTCAGAAAGGTTGAAACAAATTGGTTGAAAGTGCCGAGCCCTGCTCCTTCCAGAGAAGCAGGGCGCTGGCTCGGGACTTTTCTCCATGGCACAGGCTGCAGGAGCAGACTCGGCTCCCAGCAGCTCAGGATAAGTGCACAGAGACACAGGCAAGCAAGGGCTCAGCCCATGCTTGTCGGGGACAGGAAGGCCAGGCTAAACTCCAAGCTCAGCCAGCTCCCACGCAGCAAAGAAACCACCACCACCACAGCAGGCTTGAAGAACAGCCTAGGACAAAGGCCAGACAAACTCAACTTCCCCAGGCTTTGCCATTTGTTCTAAAAACAGAAGTTACACAGCTCTCTCCTTCGTCCAGTACAACATCCCTTTCTAAAAACAGCCCCACAGGCAAGCGTGCAGTGCAGGGGGCTCCCACAGCCCTTGCTCTCTGGAGCCAGCTCCTGTCTCTTCCTTTGAGGTAGGTTGAGGTGTCCCCGGGGAGGGACGGCAGCTGCCTGGTCACATCACCAGGGCGGTGTCCGAGAGGCAGCCAGCAGGTTTCTGGTCGGCTCCAGCAGTGCACTTGTTGAGAGGTAAGCCCTGAGTAGGGCTGAGCTCCAGGCACCTCGTGAGATCTTCATCGGCTGAAGGGAGGAGCATGCTGCCGGAGAAAGGAGACCCCGTGCTGCTTAGGGACAGTGAGAGAGGATCAAAAGGGCCATGGTGCAACATTCACCTGTGGTAGCACCATACGCAGGCTCAGAGGCGAGGCTGCCGGGCTCACCTGCTCCATCCCCCACACTGGGCAGCACCAGTCACCCCAACAGATATCCAAGACACTGATGGGACTTTAGGGTCACAGCTTGATCTCCTTCACTGCACACAAACCCAACTCCATCCTGGCCTGGGCACAGGAGCAGGGATGTCCTTTCCCTTAACATCAGAGACCAGGGCTGTGCCTGCCCTCCACTTCGGCTCACCCAGATGAACCCCCGTCCTCCACCTCTCTGCAGGAGGCTGTCGGGGCCAGTAGCACCCATTTTGCAGCCCAACCTGACTCAGGGAAGCTGGCAGAGTGCAGCAGACCCAGAGGTCTCGCTGCTCCCCCAGCCCCACGCTGTGGCTGAGACCCTCTGCTCACTGCTGGCCGCATCAGAGCCCACAGAAGCAGTGCAGGTCCCTACGGGGAACATCTTGTCAGCGTGTCCTGACCATGACAACCCCAAACATCATCCAGTCTGGCTGTTCTGGGCCTCACTCCCATCTAAGCTGGGTGTACAGTGCCAAGGAGACATGCCCAGTCGCGTAGACATCATGCCAGCCCCACCAGTTGGCTCTCCAGAGAGTAGAGGCTGGCTTCAGAGCCTGGAAGCCAACCTGTTCCTCTGCCCTTAAACAAAGCTGCTTTCCCTGCTGCCAGTTCTGTCTCAGGACACCAGTCTTAAAGCCACGCTATGAACATCACGCACGTCACGGCCAGTGCAAACTCACCCCAGTCTGCTCAGTTCCAGTTTGCTGAAGCCATTTGATTGAACACTGCTCTTCTGGAGGAAGAAAGACTTTGGCAACGACCACTGCAGGAGGAGAGAAAGACAACCAAACAGCTATGTAAGTTGTGGCAAAAATCGCTCAAGCCTGCTGGGCTCTGCTGTAGGCTGCCCTAGTGCGCTTCAGCTTGAACTGCCTCACACTGCTGTGCATCGTCACTGCCACCAGACTGTTCCCAGAATAGCAAACAGAGCAGTCTTTGCTCTCTGCTTAATGAATCCCTCTGCTGTAAGTGGGAGCAGAGCATCTTGAGGTCAAAAGAGTGGGTTTCTTTCACTGGATCAGCCTGCTGTAAGGCACAGGAGCGACAGACGGAGATGGCTCCCTCACGGACAGGAATAAAGGGCAGGCCAGGTGCCAAATATGTAGGGCTGTGCCCAGTGCACCCAAGCGTATTCAGATGCAAAGTACTTGCAGATCTGATATATTGGGTGGGCTTCATGTTGCTGGGAGATAGAGAAGCGTGGGTTTTTCCAGACTCCTGGAGGCCATGGCAGAGAGGGAAGAGGGCAAACAGGTAGGGCAGGAGCCACAGGAAGCAGAACAAGCAGGCTCTCTGCCCAACTCTGCCCAGGCAAACAACCACCTCTCCCTAAGTTTACCCACAGCCATACGCACCATTGGGGCCAAATCCATCCCTGCCCCAGTGTGGTACCCTTTGACGCACGAGTTCTTCAGCAGCTCCAGACCTGGGAAGTGACAGAAAAGACAAGAAGCGAGAATGAACGACCGAGTTTGCAGAGAGTTAAGCCTTCCAGCTTGGGGCACGCAAATATGCTGCATGGAGTGAACTGACTGTGAAGTACATGCTACGCAATAACTACTTGAACACATGCCTGAGCCCCAGCAAACGGGGTAAACCAAGGGCGTTCACCCTTTGTACGAGCAAACACTAGCAAACACCAGCACGTGGGCTGCCGCAGTGCCTGCCTTCCTCCCAGGGAGCCAGACGCACCGTGCAGCAGGCTCAGCTAAGCAGGGAAACTGGGGCAACACGGGATTTGCCAAATTAGACCAGACTGGCTGTCCCCCTGAGCCCGGTGCCTGCCAACAGCAGCACCTGATTTGGGCTGCACCGGTGAAAGTTCCTACAGTGCAAATGTAGAGCAGCTTTGCTGTCACCAGCCCCTTTCCCAGAGTAGGGCAGCTTGGGCAACCTCCTCCTTGCACAGCACCGATCAGCTGCAGCATCCCAGCGTGTTGTCTCCTCCCTGCACAGACCCATCCAGAGCTCGATGTGGGCTGAGACCTGGTCTCCATCCCTGGCAGAGGGCGAGGCTGGCATGGACCAAGCTCACCGGCGGTGTGACTGGAAGGCACCGTTCCTTCAGACACACACAAGATGTGCTGCTCCAGGGCACAGGGGGGTCACCTTGAAGCAGAGCCATGTGTCCGACTGCACTTCCTCCAAGGCCTCCTCCTGCTAGCTGTCCCTGCTACAGCCAAGCTCCCTGCTCTCTACTAATCCAGAGATCTTGAGAAATCCAGGACTGCTCCCTTCCCATTTTCTGTTTTAAGAACCTTAGAGCCACAGCACAAGCTAAGGTGCCTTAAGATTTAAGAACCAGCAGAGCAATGGCCAGGAACTCGATGCTGTCCAGCTGGGGTTACTGTGGTTTGCTACATGATACCAGTCCTGGCTATAGGAGGAATCCTTGCTGCCCAAACTCTGCTCCTCAGTGACCTTTCAGCAAGCCCCAGGACTTTGGGAAAAAACCCCACGTGTTGGGGGCTGAGGGGAGCAGGGCAGCTCGGCAGCCCTGCCCCAGCTCTGTGCACCAGCCCGGGCTTTCCACCTGTCTGGCCAGGGAGAGAGGAGGGCTGTGTGGAACATACGTCAATGGGAAGGGGCCAGGGAGGTTGGGTTTTGATCAGAGGTGAAGAGCAATGAGGGGGTGGAGCAAATCTGCTCGCTGGGCTGCTTCAGAGAAGCTGGAGCACTGAACCACCACCCTGACTGGAGCGGCAAAGTTCAGGGCAGCACTTCAGTGCAGACGATGACAGGATCTTTCTTCCAGCTGACAGGAGAGCATCCAGCAAAGGTATTAGCGAAGCAAAGGATGACACATGCTGACAGCGCAGCTGGAAAGGGCTATGAGGTTACTGTTTCTCTGTGAAAGACTGTTACCAACCCTTTTGACATTTGCTTTAACACCAGTGAAAAGTGACAAAAGCTTTTTTTTTTTCTCTGCATGACAGCCAGGCTAGGAGCACACATACAATTGCCTCAGTAGAGGGTTGGCTCCTGCAGAAGCCTCTCCGGGTAGATCAGATGCTGGATGGAGAGCCCTGAGCCACAGCTGCTTTCTTTTTTATGTTCTCTAACCCCTCACACTAGACCTCACTGGTTCTGTCTCCTAAATAGCCTTTACTGCTGCCCTGATAGAGACAGCCCTGGGTGAGAAGGAATTGGTCCAGCCCAGCTATGCCTCATTAAAGGATGTTTTTTATTAAAATACGGAGTTGTGTCCTGAAAAGGTGGAAATGATAGCTAGATTTCTAATGTTTAGGAAAAATTCTTCTGTGTGCATGCTGACAGTTTTTCATCAATTAGAAAGCAGCAGGAGACCAGGGAATAGGCCCAATTTTTCCTTCACTGCACAGATCACCTGTAAGGAGCAAAGCCCAGTGACTCCAGCTGTTTCTCCCTCAAAAGAGGGCAGAGAAATGCAATAAGAGGCCAGAGCTACAGGTTGAAGGCAGAATCCCAGCCCACTTCAGCCCCAGGGCACCTAGAAGTGCTGGTGCTGTGTTACCAAAGCAGTCAGCATGTCTGATCAACTCTGAATAAGCTTTTTATGATATTTGAAGAAGTCTGGGAGGGTAAGGCATTTCCTACAGCTAGTGTGCAGGCAGGCAGTGCCCCCTCAACACGCATAGCTCAGAAGTCTCCCACGAGCGCCAGCAGGCAGCCTGCCTGACTCAGGTGACTGTGCCAGGCTCTCAGATGGCAGTTACCTTTGTGTTTATTCAAGTAGTATTTGAGCTCCCACTGGGTCACCAGGATATTGAAGTAACGAGGCTGCTCGAAGAAGCGCAGGTACCGCATGGAGATGTGGGTGGGGAACACCCGCTCGAACTGCCCGCGCCGGGAATACTCGTCCTCTGTCTCCACCAGGATACGAATATCATCTGGGGTCAGGATGTCCAAGATAGAAGAATAAAAATCCTGCAGACAAGAGCAACCCAGGGTCAGGGAGAACTGAACATTTTGTCAGACCCCCTTCTCACCTCCCCACTCCTCAAAACCTCTCAGGCAGAGGTGTCCATGTGTCTGAGATCTTTGGGACACAGACCAAATGGAAAATGAAGAAATCTAGGCTCAGTGGTGACATCAACACTGCACAGAGCTGAGGAGATTCATAGTTCTGCAGCCCAGCCTCTCTTACAGACACTGCCAGGTGGCACACAAGGCAAGCGTCCCTGCTAACCTGCATGGGGTCAGCAGGCAAAGGCTATGAGAGCTGTGCAGAGACACGAGGAGGAACAGGCAGTGCTCAGACCCTGTTTGGGGACTGGTGGGTAATGTGCCCCTCAGCATGTGCCTATTTTAATATAAAGATGAGCCAGTGCAGCGGTGGCTTAAGCAAAACCAATTTATTTGTGTCTCGTAACCCACCGGAGCCCAAGTGCTCCCCATCATCTGGCTGTCCCCACAGAGGGGTGCAATCTGGAGAGGGACAAGGGACAGACATGTGGGACTGGTTGGGACAGTGGTTTGGCAGGATGGCACAAGTATCAAAGGAGATTGTGTCATACCTGGTCAGGTATCTTCTGCGTCAAGTAATAGGCCTTCTTCATCTTCTCTGCTATGGAATGCTCAGATGCGGGCTTGGGCTTCTCCTTCAAAGCACTGCCCAGACTGAGGACACAAGAAGAGGCAGTAGAGCATTTAAGTGGAGAAAATGGGGTCCTGTCATGGACAGAGATGCTCCCAGAAGCTTCTGAGAGAGCAGTGACACACTCAGGAAGATGCTGTGGGGGAGAGAACGCTTTCTCCAAGGATTTCACTAGTTCTGAGATCAATGATGCACCCACAGCCTTGTGCATCAGTACGGGACTCAGGAAGGATGCAGGCAGGGGAACAGGGAGTGCCCTGCCAGCTCCTCGCTAAGGCATTTCGGTGTTCCTTCATCTGAAAGGTGAACCATCACCTCGCATCCACATAGGATGCAAGAGGGCCAAAGACACACCGTGACCCGATTCATGGCACTTGAAGCCTGGTGGGATCTCATGTTTACATCCTGCTTGGGATGCAGCTTCCTAAGTGTAACAACAGAGCTAGGGGTACAAGTACTCAGTACTGATACTGTGCAAAGAAGGAGAGAACTCTTAGATCAAAACCTTCTTCCTGCAACATCCAAGACTCTCAAGACTTGAATTCAGCTCCAGCTCCACATGCCATGGGAAATCCTGGCCCTTTGTACAATCTGACCAGCAACCATCTAAACTATTCTAAGCACCCAACTAAACCATTTGGGGATGCCAGAGTCTGGGAGATACATGTCCAACACCTTTTAACACTTACATCAACGCAACTAATTTGTTCTGCTGCTGCAAAAATAATTAGTTGTGTGCAGATCCAAACAGGGAGAGCAGAGCCTCGAGGCTGCGCTGCATGGTGCTTGGGGAACATACAGACCTACTGGCATTATGCCCATACACAAAAACCCCCTTCATAGCCTTCCCAAGGCAGGAGATATGGTTAAGCAAGCTTGCCGCTGGATGCAGGAACTCTGGTAATGCATCATCTGAACCATGTTAAGGATCCGCTTAATCCCCTGCAGGTCCCTCCGAGGACACCTGCCCTTCAGCACCTCCGTCGCAAGCCGTAAACGAGCGTGTGATCAAAGCGCCGCAGATGAGCTGGCGAGAGCTCCCCAGCTGGAACGGGCCCGCACTCCAAGCCTCTCCCTTTGCTGAAGGCACAGGACACGCAGAGGGCAAGAGTCCCATCTTTCGGCGTGCCCATACATCACCGCATGCTGGTGCTCATCCCAGCAAGCTGCTCCTTCAGTGACATACAGCCAGCAGGCACTCTGCTGCAGGGAACAGGACTGGTTCCCCCCCACCATCAGGTCTGACACCATTATAAGCACAAGCTGTGGTGAAACACAGAAGGAGCAGGGGCCTGGGTGGACACATGCCCAGGAATTAGCCTTATGCAAGGAACAGCCATGTTAGCTGCAAGGGAAGACTGCGCACACCCCTACCCATAGGTCTACAGCCTCTGACACCTTCAGTCCTGCCTAAAGAACAGATCACTCCAGCCTTTGCAAAATAACAGGTGCTCCTCTTGCTCAAGGCAGCAGCACGTCAGCCCTGGGGTAGAGGGTAAGTGGATCCAGCCCCAACACAGCCAGACAGCCCTCCAAGCAAGCGGAGAGACAGCGTGGCTCAGCATCACGTTCGTTCTGGCAGGGGGAAGGAGGAGAGAGCATGACTCGACTAACTGCAGAGCAAGCACAAATTACACTGGCCTCACTTCCAACTATGGACCTGTGGAGAGGGCATAAATCCTTATGCCTTGAAGAGGCTGCAGGAACCAGATACCCAGGCAATGATGCAAGTCCCTCAGACCTGTAGCTGAAGGACCAGCAAGCACAGGCTCTCAACAGCATAGAAAGCAGTGTTTGCTGGGCTGCAAGCAGCCCCCAGATGAAATCCCCCAAGAGAAAAGCCTGCCTCTCTGACAGAGAAGGGGGCTGACCTGCAGGTAGAGCCACTTCTTGTCTGTGGCCTTGAGGCCACGCTGTCTGGACTGGGCAGAACGAAGCCGGCGATGTTGAGGAGGTCCCGGATCATCTGGCCCTTGATGCTCACGTCCAGTGGGGAGTTGGAGTGGAGGCTGTGGGGAAGAAGCATTGCAGCAGTCTGAGTGCTAGAATGGAGGTGCTGAGCTCCACAGCCCCGAGATCACTCCCTGGGTTAATACCAACTGGGATACAAAACCCAGCCTGTCCTTTGTCTCATCACAGACGCCTCGAGACATTGAGGGAACAATCCTGACAACAGCTCTTTGAATGGGGGCTCCCAGCAGAAATGGTTAATTTCTCCACCTCTTCCCAGATTTGCTGGAAACCTGCAAATCCATCCCCAGAGCCCCGTCTGGGATCATGGCTCGGTCCAGCTCATGCCCACCCACTCTCGCAGGCAGAAGAGGCCACGCTCTGCACTGCAGCTCCCAGCCCTGCCTGCACAGCCGACACCACACAGCCGGGTGCCGTCAGCAAGCAAGGAACAGTGCACAAGGAAGTGGAACCGCTGATCACTTCTGCCCACGCAAAGAAGAAATCTGTGCCGTCAACTGTTCCCTACATGACACATCCCTCCTTGGCCTTCCTTTTTTAACATACTCTTTTTTTTTAACATACTCTTCCCTGGCTCTAGCTGGAGCATGCCCAGAGAAGCTTTCTGAGCTGCGGATGGATGTTGCTTTTACAGACAGGGAGGACTTTGATTCCTGCAATCTGGAGAGGGAAACTTCAAAACCCACAGTCTTTCAGCACAGGGTGCAGGGGACATCACGAGCCAGATTCACTTTGTGGTAAAAGAAAGGCCATTATACACTCTGCTGTGGCTCAGAATCTGCTTTACCTCGGGGAAATGTTGACCTCTAAGATCCAGGGCTTGAGGTTTTCATCCAGCATGATATCAAACCCAAACAGCTCATGGCAACAATACGGCCGCCGCACATACATCTTCACCAGGCTGTTCACGTAGGGCTCAGATCTGCAAGCCAAGGAAAAAACGCTTGTTTCCAACAGTCAGACAGCAGAGCTCTGGCTGTTCACAGCACGCGCTGCCGGTTCTGACAGCGTATGCAGCCACATGGTGCGGGAGCGGGTGGGCTGAGAGACTGCTGCACTGAGTATGGATCCAGCATTGCATCCTGAGCACGCCTGCTCTGTCAGGCAGGATCCACCTCTGAACACAAGATCCATCCTGCACCAGGGCACCTTTCTTCTCAGGCACCCTGGCCAAGCAGAGGAGTGGGTGGCAAGCTGGGTGGAGTGTCAGGTACACCACACGCTCTTGGCCTCCCCCCTGCACTGCAGGCAGACCCAGGAAATGTAAGGTCTATTTACCCATTGCAGCTACTGCAGCATGAGCATAAGTAACAGGATGAAAGGAAGGATTCGGAGAGAAATACTGAAGCCAACAGCAGTTGTAGCATTTAGATTAAGAGCAAAAGGACCAGGCTGAGAGAGGACTGGAGAGCCAGAGGGGCCACGGTGCACCCCACAGCCAGGCACAGAGCAAGGGGGGCCAGGACTCACGCAATTATGGTTTTGATAACGATGTCCTTAATCTTCTCCCAGATGGCCTCACTATTAACTCCCTTCTGGGTCAGGTAACTCCAGAGAGCTTTGAGTGCCCTGGGAGAGAGAGAAAACAAAGGAAGTAGCTCTGTAGCCTCTTGCTGCCCAGCCCTGTGAGGGGAGTGAAAGGAGCAGAGGGGAGTCTTGACAAAGCTCTTCCCTAGCACAGCCATCCTTTTGCCATCCCCAAACCCCTCAGCTCCTGGTTGCTGCCCTCTCCAGCTTGGCCCCTGGTCTTGTAGGCCCAAGCTACTAGGAACATAAATCTGTCATAGACTTGTCCCAGCACTGGAGTAATAGGTCCCAAATTAGCACATGAGCAAGGTATGTCAGGCCCAGATCTTCTCTTCCCTCCCCCTCCGTGTCCTCAGCAAACCTCCCCTTCCTGCAGGCCTTCCCCCGCAACTGGAATCCAGCAAGACCCCCATAAATCTTTTAGCTAGAGCCATTTCACTGAGGCTTCGGGGGTGGAGAAGAATCTTTGAAAAATGTGGAGAACAAGATGGTGGGGTGAGTCTCTCTGCTTTTACAGGAGTTTCCCACACCACACTGAGTGCTGCAAGCTACCCTGACACTGAGCCAAGGATGCTCAGACATTGCTCAAGTGAGACCATGTGGCTAATGGCCAGGAATCCAAAGGTCACACTTCCTGCATACGAGATGGAGTGGGTTACAGCCACTCTCATCTTTAACGTGGGAGCAGCCAGCTTGCACTTGCATGTGGCGGTACCAGAAACCCACACAATCCCACCCCCATGGGATTTCAACTGCTGGGGGACAGCAGACCCTTCTCAAAGTCCCAGCGGAGGAACAGACCACTGAGCAGCAGGTCCAGGTCTGAGAAAGCAATTCTACCACAGCAAACCACCTTCTGCAGCTCCCTTTGAAGTAAAGTAGCCCTGCCCAGGCCAATGAATTGAGAACTCTATCCTGCACTATTTTTAAGAGTTCAAACACCGCTGTGGAATCAGAGACAAGTGCCTGGGGCCTTGGATCAGTCCACCCATGGGACAGCAAGGAACAGCAACTCCTGCAAGACACAGCCCTCCTCCCAAAAGCTATTCACACCGAGCAGCACATACATTATCAGTTTTGCACCAGGACTGTCCCTTTCTCTGCCTCCACAGGGAAGTCAAGAGCGAGATGGGCAGAAGCTCCCAACTTAAGCATCACAATTACCCATTCAAGTTCTAACAGCAGAAGATCAGATTCTGCTTTAACCACATCCCATTGCCCCCACAGTGGGGCAAGGGGATGAATGAGCACAGATGAGAGCAGTGTTGGAAGCAGGGAATGGCACAGACACAGGCAGGATGAACAGCAACCACAGCCCAAGCAGCAGAGGACAGGATGAGCCACAAGCCAGGGAGACCATCCAGATTCCATCACCACTAACCCATGCTAAAATCACTCTGCTCCTCCAGTTTCCCCAATGTCCTGGTTTCGGCTGGGATAGTTAATTTTCTTCCTAGT